CTCATTTTTCTATAAATCCGCCATTTTATCATTATGCATATTTAACTGCAGTCAAGTTTTTTTCCCAGTTGCTGCAGTGGCACTGTTCATCTGAATTCTAAAATATTTGTCATCTCCCTCAAGAAGATTAGTCCAAGGCGGTCATAGGTACTTTGTAAAATCCTAGTCAGGGCCTGGTCTTCATTCTTGTTACTTAGGTAATTGAGGCTTTTGCCCCCAAAAGTCAAGATTTAAAAGTCAAGATTTCATCTCTGTGGCTCACAGCCACATTGAACATTCTACCACACTGCCTTCGAAACCCTTAAAGAAAACTCTCACTGTATAAAATGGGGGAAAAGCCTATTTTATACTAAATTCAAGGTAAAGCTGCTCTGTTTTAAAATCATTTTTTCCAAGTGTTGTTCTAATTGCTTTTGGAAGGTCCCTGTGACCCTGAGTGCAGTGAGGTGGGCTGTGATGGGCCGGGACCGGACCACTGCAATGACTGTTTGCACTACTACTACAAGCTGAAAAACAACACCAGGTAAGAGAAGCCACGTGAGCCCCCGCAGCACGCCCTCCCCACCCCGGAGTTCCCACAGGGTCACCACGGGGCACACCGTGTCTTCCGTGTTCTCCCACCAGCACCAAAGCACAGAAAGGATGCTGCCACGCAGGCCCCCCGCCTCATTGTGTCACCCGGAACGGTGAAACTGAATTACAAAACACAAAATGGACCTGTGTGCTAGGAAACTGCAAACAGCTTTCCTCACATTTCAGAGGATGAGGGGGAGGGCCAGCAGTGCCCGTGCCCGGTCTTCCCCTCTAGACCTGTCTGTCCCGTGGGCATTTGATGCCGCAGCTACATCTGCCCTTCACGAAACTGCCAGTACACAAGCCAAATGGACGCTTTTCCGAGTTTCCCAAAGTGCAGGCCCTCAAGGTGGCAAACCTGCTGGTCCCTGCTCACTCTCACTACTCAGCCTTGGGCACTGAGGCTCGGGACCTGTGCCTCTGAGCCCCTGGCTTCGGCCTCAAGTGTCAGTATCCACAGGGAGGGCCGTGGACCAGTGACTGCCCATCAGAGACGATGCTCTTCTAGGCATGTCTCTCTCAGCCCTACCAACCTCTCCCAGAAAGAAACTCACTGTGGGGCAGTAACTTGCAGTACATCCACACCCGGGCACAGGGACGTCCATGCCGGAATTTAAATTCCTTAAAGGGAAAGGCCCTTGGCTACCTGAGCACCTCTCATGATCTCCCAGACTCCCAGCAAATGTCTGACGTTTAATTGGTACTCAGTAAATACTTGGATGAATAAATAAAGCCTGGCCTTTCAGTTATGAGCTAACAAGGAAGTTATTTTTTTTAGCTGATCATAAACAACATAAATTTAAGAGTTATATTAATTTAGACAATCACCACCACCACCCTTATACAAACTGATCCATAACAAACAACACACAAAAATAGAAGTAACCCCTTATTGGTGATTTTCACACAAAATCCTGGCTCCTATATGTTTTCCCTTCAACCCAGTAGCACAGTCGTCTTCTTGAGACTTAGTTTCTAACCATCATTCTTCCCCCTACAATTTTTTTAAATTGAAGTGTAGTCGGTTTACAATGTTGTGTTAGTCTCTGACCACCATCCCCTTTAAAAAGCAACTGGAGGATGGTTTGGACCAAGACCTGCCTGACTGGGTGGCTTTGGTAGTATGTGCTGCAGTGCTGTGGCAGCACCTACAGAGGAGAAGGCTTTAACCTGCAGGATTTGGCCCTTTGGATGTGGTGTTACCATCACAGTCTAAAAAGGATTTTGAGAGTGACCACAGCTGTTGGCTCAGCACCTCGCTCACTCAGGACCGAGTCTCTGACGCTGCCCTCCTTTCTTATCATTCCACAACACAGGATCTGTGTCTCCAGCTGCCCCCCTGGCCACTACCACGCCGACAAGAAGCGATGCCGAAAGTGTGCCCCCAACTGTGAGTCCTGCTTTGGGAGCCATGGGGACCAGTGCCTGTCCTGTAAATATGGATACTTCCTGAATGGAGAAACTAACAGCTGCACCACTCACTGCCCTGATGGATCCTATCAAGACACCAGTGAGTTGATTCCAAAATCTAGTTTTGAGAGAGGAAATGTAAGGTTTTCACTTGAGTGACCTTAGGAGGGGTAGGCCTCCACCATGAAATCTAGGCCGTGCTTAATATCAAACGGGATCGAGCCAACTGTTAAGAGACCACTTTAGAATGGTTTTGTAAAAATGCCTGTGACTGCTTTGGGGCATCCTCAGGCGCATCCCCAGATTCAGTGATTTGCTAGGAGGATCCACAAGACAGTGTATAGTTGTACTCAAGAACTCAAAGTGATGGCTTATTATTGCAAAAGGATGCAAAGTAAAATCAGCAAAGGGAAAAGGCACTTGGGACAAAGTCTAAGAGTTTTCTTCTTATATAGAGTGACATAGGGTGCCTTTCATTACCCCAGCAACAGTTTGCGGCAACATCTGTAAAATGTCGTCTACCAGGGCAGCGCTTTAGGGTCTCAGCACCAGGGCTGTGACTGGGATCTGGTCATGAAGGGACCCTGTGCCTGGCACATGCCCACATTCCAGACTCCTAGGAGGTAAGCAGGCAGCACCAACTATATGGTTTGTACCAAGATCTATTCTTATCAGAGGGGTGGGAAACCTCATGAAATCCAACTTTCCAGTTATCAGCCACAGGCCAGCCTTAAGCAGGCTTTTAAAGGACAGCACCAGGCCTGCTCTTCTGTGCCCACTAACCACAGGACCCAGGCCTGTATGGTATCAACAAGGGTAAAAAACATGGCTTTCATCTAAGTAGAGAAAGGAAACGTGTCAAGACTTACTTATTTATTAACCCATTAGTGAGAGAACCTGCAAGGTGATGTGATAAATGGGTTTAAAGACTATCAGGGAAAGGCAAAATGAAGTCCATTTGCTAAGTTAGACAAAACTAGATAATTTCCTACTTGACGATTATGGTTAGAATTTTGGGGGGTTATTTTTTCAAATGGACAGAAATCATTTGCAACTTTGTCAAACAAAAATCTGTAAATGAGCATGTAACTCCACAGAATTAGGGCCCTAATAACAGTCATTAGTGAACAAAGGTCCATTCCCTAGAAAATTCAACGATCACCTCCCTTTAGACAGTGCTTTGGGGTGGCTCTGCAAGGGGCTGCGGGTACCTTGCTTTATTTCTGAGCTCTCAATAATTTGTCTGAACAAGAGTGTCACACCATGATATATGATGACACTGAAATTCCCTGTTTCTGCCCAGCCTAAGAAAGAAGAAAACCCAAGAGTTGTTTTTTAAAAACCAAGTAAGAATTTTCAGTGGATGCTCTTGCTACATAAGAAGTCAAATTCCCTCGATTCAAAGGCAGGCATTCCTTTAGGAGGAAAATGGGGCTCTCGACCTGCCCTTTAGAGCACTGGGTAGGGATTCCCCCGTAGTTTCTACTTTCCCTGAAATCTGGAACGTGAGCTGCAACTGGATGGAGAAAGGAGAAAATAAGGGATCTACAGAAATAGACAGTTTCCTTTGAGGAAAAAATTCAAAATTTTATCAAGAAGGCTGAGCCTTGGAAAAGAAATTTGGTTCTAGACAGTATAAAATAGGATCAAGATAATTTAGAGAATCAGTTCTTTAGCCGGAGACTGGGCGGTGGATAGTAAGGATGGCTGTTTAAACAATTACTGATACAAGTGGTCTGTGCATCTCTCTCTTATGCAATTGCCTTGTTACAATTTCCTCCTTCAATGAGTCCATTTACATATAACGGTAATTACGTATGATCATGACTAGTAATAATTACTGCCAACATATTTACAGTTCTCTTGAATAACATCAACTCCTCAAGACAAGCTGAGAGGTGGGCATTATTTTAATATTTACTTAACAAATGCGAGAACAGAGACCATGAGCTTGCCCACTGGAAATGCTAAAAGCAGAACTCAAATCTAGATCCTCTGCCGTGTCTCGTAGTCTCAATGACACTATCGGGGGAGACCATGTGATAATTACCAGAAGATTGTAAAGGACTTCATATTTCAAGTCATGGGGCTCAGGCTTGAGAAAGGAGATGGCCCTCTTGCAGGGGATCTGTTAAAGCAGTGTTTCTCTGGAACCCCAAAGAGCACCACCATTGAAAGAGCAAAATCTGAGAAGCCTTCACTCAATTCTACACATACATTAGGCTAGGATCCATTTGCATCTCAGAAGGTATCACGTCTCCAGAAAATTTTCACCTGAGGTAAAAGGACTTAATGTAACAAATCACCATTTATCGCTACTGAACAACAATGCACTTGTCATTTTTTTCCCCCGATAGGGGCCTGGTTGGCATTAAAGAGGAAAGCCAATATTCCTGGCATGTTTGTTCAGTCAAATATATTTCTAGTCCCCAGAATACAAATATTATGTGAAATATAGTATCATGTGTATCGATTCCACAGCTGCTATAAAGTGCAAGACCCTAGACTAGACAATGCAAGAAATAATGAACCTTACCTTGCAGTCTTAAACGCAGGTTCCTTGTCTAGTGCGGTTCATCAGAGCAGTCCTTAAAGCTGCGAGCATGGGGTCTACCGTTCCACTCCTCAGTGGCTAGTGCTGCTTCTCAAAACTTACTAGTGGCATTGCCCTGCTTCATTAGTGAGATTTTTTTCACTGTAGGAAGTTAGGAAACCCTGCTTAGGAGAGAGAAGAGGAAGAAAATAAATAAACTAAGCATTACAGTGGCTGAAGTTCTCTTGTCTACAAAATGGTAGGTGTCACTAAGGTATTCCCCTCGTGCTACAGTCCCTACCTGTATCTGGTGGGCTGAGAAGTGACAGCAAATTGTAGGCTCTTCCTACAATTTTCTCAAGGCCTTGTGTACTATACCATACATTTGCCAACATTAGAGCATCTCTATGCTTTTATGGAATCCAGTTGACCAACTGATTTATAAGCTTTTTTTTTTTTTAACAGAGAAAAATCTTTGCCAGAAGTGCAGTGAAAACTGCAAGACATGTACTGAATCCGACAACTGTACAGAATGTAGGGAGGGGTTAAGGTAAGAGAATGAAGTACTTCCCAATATAATTTTTTTTAATAAATAAATAACTCTTTTATAAGTCACCCTTGGGTTGACTCCCATTCAGACATTTGACTGCAATTCACATTATCTCTGCCATTTTATGTGAAAAATCAGATGCCATCTTGGCTAAGGAAGGTTTATATACCAAATAAAATTCTCTTTAGAAAAGATGGCTCAAATACAAGTAAGTAAAAATGGCCATCAAAGAGGTTTCCTTCAGACTTTTTGACCAGCAGTCAAGGATTACTGTGTAGGCAGCACCGGTGAATTATATTTAATCCCTGATTGATTCCTTTGATGGTGGAAACTGTTACCTTATCTTCATTCTTTCTCTCCATGTAGCCAATCATTCTCTTATCTTCAGCACCTCAGGCTTGGTTCTGTTATGCTATGCTATGCACATAGATTTAATACCAGGAGATGTTTTCCTTGAATGGATGAGACTTGCTCATTGTTATAGCCAGGTAGTTGATAGATTTTGTGAGAGAACAACATGCAGCTCAAATGAACTAGGTAATCTCTTGATATCCAGAGAAGGTCAGGTCATCCTAGGTTGAGTGAGGAGTTGGACTTGGTTTACACAGTTATAATTCTGCTCCATTCCATCCCTTTTAAGTATCAAACAGTACCTCCATTTCCACCTTGGATCAGGGGTGAAATACACAGGGTCCAGTTAGTTTCTAGGCAGTTAATTCTTCATAGTAATTAATACTGGAGCATCATTTTTGTTTAGGTTAATTATCTTTAGCTTCCCCCCTGCCACTGCATTCAGTGGCAGTTTGCTTAGCACTTTTTATCTCAAGACTTCAGTTTTGATAAATATCAGTCTAGTCGGCCTCCTAATTCTTTTTGGAAAAGGAACAGATTGGTATATAATAAAAAGGAAGATAAATGTGGGCTCAAATCTTTCTCCACCACTTATCAGCTGTGTGATCTTGGCCAAGTCATTTAGCCCCTCTGAGCTTCAGTTTTCTC